CAGGTTGAAATGAGTCTTACTAGGCTAAAATCAAGGTGGTAGCCGGGTCATGTTTCTTTCTGGAAGCTCTACGAGAAAAAATCTGTTTCTTTACCCTTTTCAGTTTTTCTGTAAAAGTTTTCCACAGTCTCTCACTCATGGCCCCTTGCTCCATCTTCAAAGTCAAAACCTCAGGTCAAGTCTCTTTCAAGCTGCTATCTCTCTGGTCCTCCATAGTGATATTTTTAAGGACCCAGTCATTCCATTGGGTCTGTCCAATTTTTCCAAGATAACCTCCCCATCTGCAGGCCAGCTTACTACCAACTTTAATTCCCCTTTGCTATGAAACCTAACATAGCCACAGCCTGTGTGGTTCAGGACCTGACTATCTGTATTAACTCTAAGGCTAACAGCAAGTTAGTGGCCAGTCAACTTGTCTGTCTGACCTTATGAACTCCCCCTTTATACAACCTCAAATATAATTTACTAATAATTTCTAAAGTAGACAGTGAAATGAAATAATCCAACCTATGCCTCAATGACCAATTGAAATGTATTAAAAAAAAATTTAAAAAAAAGGAAAATGTAGCCTTTGGACAGCAATAGAGATCGCTGTCTCTGAGAGAGTCTGTTTTGTTTCTCTTCCCTTTTTTACAAATCCTGAACCATAAGAGTAAATATTCTATTTAGAAAATGAATGGGGTAGTTAAGTAAAATTGCCATGGATGGTCTCCCTGCCTGACATAAACATACTGGAATTAGACCTTTGTTTTTTTTTAAAAATCTGTGAATTATCGATGTCAGTATAGTTTGTATAATTGTTACCTACCATGACCCATACTACTGCAATAATTGTTACTGAATTGCATTTGGGTTTATTTGGGGCACTATAATAAATAGAATTGCTCTGTACTCTGGTTCTTTACTTGCTAGTCATGAGAATTTGGACAGGTCACTTTCCTCAACTTCATCTACTAAACAAGGATCCTAATGTTATTATCTCTGAAGGAGATATTGTATTTTTACAATATATAGTTCATTGCATCTGATATCAGTATCAAATAAATGTCACTCAAATTAACTTTTGCCAATTTTTAGCAACTTATCTATACATAAAATAAATTAGCTTAATTATAGTTCTCACTTTTTCAATGACAATATTTACTCATCCAAACCACACTTCCTCAAATGGCTTACATTTCCCTATTAGTTCTTACATAATTTTCAAACCTCTTACAGTTTGTAAAGGAAAATGTAAATGGAATATAAAACAGCACCATCACTTTCTTTTCCTCATTTTATATTCAGCATCTATTGACTTTACAAATCCATTCTGAGGCATAAATCTAAATGAGTGGCATTTTCAAATATTAGATGATGAAAGCTTAGTTGCCCTAATGACTTGTGGTCATTGTTTTCTGGCAGTGGCTTTGACTTTATGCCCCATATCCTTCTCTAAACTGATGGCAAATTCCTCAAAGTCCATGAAAGTTATTACTGTCATGATTCAATGAATTTATTCCTGGATGATGAAACTTCATGCTTTAGATAGGATGGCTCCCTATTTTGTGTCTGCCCAGTCCTGGACTTTCTAAGTTCTAAGTGGAATGAAGCTCATTGTTCTCTAATCCATAAAATAAGATTTAGGTAAGAACTGCCCTCTTGGGGACCAGCAACTAGCATAATGGCTGTGTCGCAGGACTCCCATGTAGTCAACTGCGGTTTGCATCCCGGACCCGGTGGCTTAAAACTCATGCCAGGCGTGTGTGCATACGTGCCCAAGATCCCAAGAGGAGGAGAATGGAGGAGAAGGGATTGCAGCATGGCCATCCCCTCTGGGGGGTGATATATTGCTTTCTATCTCTCTGTCTCTCTCTCTCTGGTGAGTGCATGTGCCCTATAACAAAACAAAACAAAACAAAACAAAACAAAACAAAACAAAACAAAACAAAACCTCTTAAAAAAAACACCCACAAAAAAACAACTGCCCTCTTGGTAGCATTACTTAAGGTACTATGCTTGCTACTATTTCCATAGGCTCCCACCACCATGTCCATGTCTGGCCAGGACACTCACTTATTTCTCCATTACTTCTCCATATAGAGGAGTCCTATGGGATGGATGGATCTAGAAAAAGGACTGGATGTACTTGGCTCTGCCCCTCCTGGGTTCTCTCTCTAAACATCTGCCCAGCAGCACAGTGGGTGTGCTCTGGTCTCTCCTCAGCCATGCTGTCAGCTCATTAGCACAGGCTCTGCTTTTGTCGGAGAAGCTGGCAGTTTTCCAGTATGGCCTGTATTTGGGAGGTCAACTCATCTGACTCAGAGATAAGGTAAGAACGGTCGCATTTGTCCATCTTTATTCAGAAAGCTAATGGTGGACCCCATTTTTTCTGCCTCCTTTGTTCTCTTATTTGGTCTTAAATTGAAAAGTGCAGCACGATCTGGTTGGATGCAACACTCTCCATTCATCCTCCTCCAAATATTTTTTTAAAAATTCTATATTGTTCTTCCATTATAGATTATATGTAAAATCTTTCTGGGTTTCAGCTCCATAGCTTGTTTGTATGTATGTATGTATGTATTTATAATTTGCCATAAGACTCGTGTGCTCATGAGAGAAAGAGAGAGAGAAAGGAAAAAAGAGCTGTTTCCAGGAAAGATGGCCACCCAGCAATACTTTTTCCTCTCAGGATTTTGGGTGCACACATGCCCAGTGTGGTGTTTAAGCTGTCAGAACTGGAACCATGTCCAGATGACCATGTGGGATCCTGCCACCTAACCACCACACCACCTGCTGACCTTTTGTTTTTATTTTTAAGAGAAAGTATACCCTTATTATTGATTACCACCACTAGAATAGTTTTCTCTTCTGAGGGAAGTCCCCGCTGTCCTGGAGAAAAATCAAGATATGCATACAAATCATTGTTCTCTACAAATTAAAAGCAATTATAAAATCATGTCAAATATGAACATGTAAACTTAATATAATATCGTATGGTATTTTAAATCAAAGTATCAAGAGAAGGAAGAAAAACTTCATTGATTTCAGTTTTTCAGCCTTCCCTCTCTCTTTATTATTTTCTCTTAAAAATTGTCTCAGACACAGAAGTTCTTCTAACTGAAATATTGTCGGTTTCATAATTTTTCAGACACTGCTGCATAGCATGGCAACACTTCATATAAAAAATAAAATCTGCATATTAATAAGAATGCCTTATTTATACCCTTTGGAATAGCCAAACTACATGAAGAAACCAACTATTCATAGGCACTATTTGGTACCTGTAATACCTGTCATTTTCTCAAAAGATGCAAGCCCAATATGATGGTCTGTGCTAAAAAGATCTTGACCAATATAGTAAATGAGATTTTTTTTGAGAGTTTATTTATTTATTTATTTTTTTGCTATAGTTCATGAGTGCTCACCAGAAAGACAGAGAGAGACAGAGACAGAAAGCGAGAAATCACCTCCCAAGGGGGAGGGCCACACTGCAATCCCTTCTCCTCTCAGGATCTTGGGCACACACACACACGTCCAGCATGAGTTTAAGCCACTGGGTCTGGGACTTGAACAGCAGTTGACTACATGAGATTTCAGTGTCATAGCCATTATGCTAACTGCTGGCCCCAGCGAGATTATTTTTACGTCTGGGAAATTCTTAAATATGGCAAGTACACAAACCTCCAAGTAGAGGGTCATTTAAAATGTTAGACTGCTTGCAGATAAAATACATGTTACATTTTTTCTCTACTATACAAGTTGAGAAATATCTATTTTCTTATATGACTTTTCCAAAGCACATGTAAAATAACTGAAGAAAACTTTAAAGAAAACAATATACAGCATTTCATAACCAACTTGGCATCATCTTTATCTCTTCTTCTGCACTGTCTTTGGACATTTAGGTATAAAACTCCCTAAGCTATCTTCTCCTGGTAATTCTTAAAGAATTTGACAGTTTTCTATCTTACACCTTAATTTTAGACCTGGAAGAAACTTAAAGACCAAGCCCAGCAGTCTTCAAATGATAAAACTAGTGGTTTCAGTGCAAATGACAGCCAAGAAAGGATCAGATCTACATTGCAGAAGGAACATCATAGCCAGTCTCTGTGTACTTAACTTTTTTGGCACTGAATCCTGGCAACACCCATTATATGAAGTATAGACTTTGGAAAGGCATTTTTATCTTCACAAAGCCTCAGTTTTATCAACCATAAATTGATAAAAATACCATCTATCTAGGCTTTTCAAGATAATTCAGTGAATGAATCTATTTTATGTTTTTACAGATTTCTGTTTATTTTCTTTTTTCCTTTCAAAAACTTCACTAAAAAAAGGAAATAATTTCTTATTTTTAAACTTATTTATTATTATTATTTAATTTGACCAGAGAGGGACAGATTAAGAGAGAGAGAGAAAGAGATAGTGAGAAAGCAAGCCACTGGGTCCAGGATCCAAACTGTGGTCAGCCATGTGGGAGTCCAGTATCTTAACCACCACATCAGTTGCTGGCCCTGATAGAAAATAATTTCTAAAAAAACATAATTGTACAAAATTACATATGATATATAATATATAAATCATAAATAATATGATTACATATATGTGTGTGTGCATGTGTGATGGGTCTTCAAAAAGTCCATGGATAATTTTTATTATGAGAAATCTAGGCATGGAATCAAAGTCATGTTTTAACTCCATTTTTTAATAAAAAATTTTAGATGTTTTCTTCACGAAAAAGAGGGGCAGAGACTGAGACATAGAGACAACATCTCAACAGGGTCTTGATGTCACAATGCACTCTCACCATCAGTCAGTCTCACACCATGGGCACAGGCCTGCCTGGGTATGTGATCTAGATGCAACCCTGGGCCTTCCCACGTGGGTCAGCCTCCTAAAGTGTTTCAGATATAGATAGATAGTTCGGTATGTAGACAGACAGACAGATTATCTCTAGGGAAAGTAAATGGAGGAGCTCTAATTGGCTTGACAGCAAGTAATGAATTAAAATTAAATGCCTACTGTGGAGATGATTTCCCATACAAAAGACACAGGACTTGAAGTGTCCAGCTACCACACAAAAAAGATGATGATACTTCAGGCCAAAAGGTAATCAATTCTATCACATATTGCAGAAATTATAAGAAAAGAGCTCAAGAGTTGTTTGACCCAGTGTCATGAACCAGATAGAAGTGTATGTAAGAAGAGAGATCTAGGGACCAGCAGGTGGTGTAGTGGTTAAGGTGCTAGACTCCCACATGTCCAACTACAGTTTGAGCCCCAGATCTGGCAGACTGAAAATCAAGCTGGAGGTGTGTACTTATGTGCCCAAAATCCCAGGAGGAGAATAGAAGAGAAGGGGTTGCCATATAGTCATTTCCCCCAGGGAGTGATTACCCACTTTTCCTCTCACTGTCTCCATCTCTCTCTCTCTCTGGTGAGTACACGCACCCCTATGGCAACAAACAAACAAACAAGTAAATAAGAGATAAAGAGAACTAGAGATCCTCTATTTCTTTTACCTATAGCTAGCAATTACAAATAGAAACATAGGTTGAGTCTCTGGAGAAATTGAGTGATGGGAATGGTAGGAGATGGGGCTTAGAAATGAAATAACTGAATTGTCGATTCATTTCTATGGTAAACACCAAGGCAGCAAGGGGAATTTAAGATGTGAGAAGAGAGTAGAGGAAAGGGGAAATATCAATGCAAGGTCCCAAGTGTAATGTGTGTAATGGTAGAGGGTTGAATCTGTAAGTTAAAGTTTTATCTTATTAGCCATAGAAAAAACACAGAAAAATAATAGTAATTTTATGAGGGATATAACTATTTAAATATTTTTCTTAAATGATAAAAATATTTAAAGCTATATATTTTCCTCACAGAACTTATTTTGTCATGAGTTTTGTTATAAATATTACGTTTCTGAGTCTGGATAGAACATTATTTACATTTTTATTTATTCTTTTATAGAGGGATCATTAAACCGTATTTTTAGATTGCTAATTTAGACAGTATATGAGCAAAACGTCTTTAGTTTTGGAGAGATTTTTGCTATAGGGCACATGTGCTTGCCAGAAAGACAATGAGTTAGGAAGCAAGAAATCATCCCCCAGTGAGGATTGCCATGCCACAACCCCTTCTCCTCCATTCTCCTCTTGGGATTTTGGGCACACATGCATCCAGCATGAATTTCAAGCTGCCAAGTTCAGGACTCAAACCACAGTCAACAATGTGGGAGTCCAGTCACTTAACCACTATGCCACCTGCTGACCTCCAAAAAATTTTTCATAAAATTTCCACTTTGGTTAGTTTTCTTCCTAGCCAAACACATTAGTTCTTTCCATTATTTACTGTTTTATTTATTTTAACTCTTTAAAAGTTTATTTATGTATTTCGTGAGAGAAAAACAGGGAGAGAGAGATAGTCACCCCCTGGATCTTCATGTCACAATCCACTGCTGGTCTTGATCAGCCCAAATCATTGGTACATGCATACAGCCTAGCATGCACAGGGAGACCACAGGATTTGAACTCAGAATTTCAGGATTTTGCATTAGTACTCTGTCACTGTACCACCACAGTTAGGTTGTATTCTTGCTTTGTTGTCTGCTTGCTCTTTCAATTTCTGAAAGGCAAGGAATAAAAAATTTCTCTGTAATCATATTTTTAAAATGACTTATTATATTTTTAAGAATTTGCTGTAGGATATGTACACTCTCTAGAGAGAGAAAGACAGAGAAAAAGATAAAGTGAGAAAGCAAGCCACCAGGTTTGGGATTAAAACCATAGGTGACCATGTGGAAGTCCAGTGCCTTAACTATCATGCCACCTGCTAAACCCTATAATTGTATTTTTATCAAGTTAAAAAAAAATGTAATTGGTGAATAAATAATTTAAGTGATTGTTTAAATAAATCATAGTTAATTATATAATTATAAAAGTTGTTATGTAAATAAATCATTGTAAATAATTAGATCTATATCAGATGACTAAATAATCATATTCAGATATAAAGGACTATAAATCAACCAAGGCAAAATTGACATGGATCTTTTATTAATGTGGATTATGCCAAAAATATAAAGGTAAAAAATAGATTTAAAAACATTGGGCATTATATAATCCCATCCTTGTTTAACCCTAACTGTAGTATATACATGTATATGAATGTATATTGCTAGCACAGTTATGCATAGAAATAAGCTTGGGAGGATATTCTCCAACATGTTAACAGCGGTAATCTCTGATTTGGCAGATGTAAGTGACTGTCACTTTTATAAGCATATTGTACTTTATAATAAAAAAACAATAAAACTATTTTTATATTGAAAATAAATTACTAGGCAAAATGGCTATCATAAATTATGTTTCAATGAAAATAACTACTTACAAATTTTATTCTTGTGCATCCAAAGTTTCAGAAATTAAAACAGAATGAAACATAATGAAAACAGATAAAACAACTCATACACATGCACTTTCAAAAGCAGGTCAATTGCCAAATGCAAAAGTCAACTTGTCACTGTAAGAGACAGGAAAAACCAGTGTTCTTTCCACTCTCATGCCACTCAACAAAACATGTCTAACACCAGTGTTGTTCTGCTACACTCCAACCAAGACTCCAGAAGACACCAGTTGGGTATTCTCCAATTCAGTTCTGATACTGTCTACTTAGAGATAGCCTCACATCCCACAAGTTAAAGGCTCAGTTCTACAAGACCGTTCCCCATTTCAGAAACTAGGCATAAGTACCAGTTAGTTTTATCTGTGCTTCTGACCTACAAGCTATAAATGGGTGGTTCCCAAGATTCCCTCCACTGTGAGTCAGGAAAGCTCACAGAACTCAAACACTTACTTACATTCGCTGGTTTATTACAAAGGGCATTACAATGGATACAGAAGAAGAGCCAAATGGAAAGAGTCATAGGACAAGTTTTGTAGGAAGGAGCATGGAGCTTCCATTCATTTACCAGGTGCACCTTGCCTGTGGAAAACTCCCCATGTTCAGCTATCTGGAAACTCTCCGAATCCCATCATTTTGAGCTTTTATAGAGGCTTCATTACATAGGCATGATTGATTAATAAATCATTGGTCAATTTTTAGTTTCTCTTCTCTCAGGAGGATGATAGAGAAAGGGAGTGGGGCTGAAGTCCCAGCCTTCTAATTCTGTCTTGGTCTTTCTGGTGACCAGCCCTTACCCTGAAACTATCTAGGGACTGCCAGACACCAGTCATCTTATTACTATATAAAAGACACTCTTTTTCCTCTAGAGATTTCAAGGGTTTTAGGGAATCATGTGCCAAGAACCAAGAGCAGAAACCAAATTAATATTTCTTATTATATCATAGTATCACAGTCCTGCTAGCCAAAAACATTGTAAAGTGCCATTGTAAGCCCTGTTGGTTTTTTGCAGAGTATTTGTGTTATTTAGTTAAATAATCCAATATGCACATTCTCAAGCTGTAGCTTTGTTTATATTTTCTCTAAAGATAGACTCCCCAGTAATAAAATATATTTACAGTTATATTTGCCAAGTTGACCCTAGGAAATAAGTAGTTTTTCCATTTGCTTTCCTAAAATGCATTAGAGACTATAGATATTTAGAGATAACTTCTGTTTAGCTTTTGTGGGTATTACATGATGCAATAAATTACTGTACTCTTTTCACAGAGGGGTTTTAATTCTATAAGTTGTTTTCTCTAGGATAAAGATTTATTAAGTCTGAAAGTATATATAAGCTTTACTACAGCACTTTTGATGACAAATCATATAATAAATTGTATTATTTCTATGATTTTTTATTTTCATACAATGTGGAATTTCATTTGAAATCTGTTTGTGGACTTTATTTCACTACTGAGGCTATGTTCTCTACTGAATGGGGATAAGATATATGTTTTAAATTAAATTTTCTGAGCTCTTGATGGAGAATACTTTGTAACTTTTACATGACGTATCAGATAAAAATTTACTATTCCCATTCCATTTAGTAAAAGAATCCAAGCCATGTGGTTTCTATTTTCTAGTTTGATTGTCACATCATATGCCCTTTAATTTCTTTAACACTCAACGTACAGAGTTCCTAGACTCTTAGCATCTCTGATACTGTATGATAAAGGATCCCTCCTCTTATTTTTAAGTATTTAATCAGTCTTAGAAAACACACTTCCAGAAGTTTTTTAGCCTGGAGTAGTCCCCTTGTCTACTTTTTGTGATTATTGCCTGTGATTTAAGGATCTTACTTAAGAAATCTTTGCCTACTCCAATGTCTTCGAGAGTTTCTGCAGCAAAGGAACCAATAATCAGAGTAAAGAGAAAACCCTCAGAATGGGCGAAAATATTCGCAAACTATGCCTCAGATAGGGGATTGATTGCAACATATAGAGAATTCAAGCAGCTTACCCACAAATCAACAAACAATTCAATTAAAAAATAGACATGTGAGTGGAACAGACAACTTTCCAAGAGAGACTTACCAATTGCCCAAAAGCATATGAAAAATGCTCAGCATCCCTTGTTATAAGGGAAATGTGAAACAAAACCACAATGAAATATTTTAGTCAGAATGGCTATAATTTAAAAAATAAAGGAATACAGGTACTGGTGAGACTGTGGTTAAAAGGGAAGTTTCCTATCTTGATGAAAATGACAATTAGTACAGCCACTGTGGAGTACAATATGGAGGTTCTTCAAAAACTTAAAAATTGAACTACCATATAACCCAGTAATACTACTCCTGGGTATTTACCCAAAAGATAAGAAAATGCTCAGTCAGAAAGACACTTCCACATCCATGTTTGTTGCAGCATTAGTCACAATTGCTATGACATGGAATCAGCATAAATGCCCAAGAATGGATGACTGGGTTGAAAAAGTGTGGCACATATACAACATGGAATACTACTTGGCCAAAAAACAAACAAAAATTTTTAAAAATGAAGGGACTGGCAGGTGGCATGTTGGTTAAGGTGCTGGACTCCCACATGGCCAATTGCTGTTTAAATCCCAGACCTGGTGGCTTGCTTTCTCACTTCCCTTTCCTGTGTGTGTGTGTCTCTTTCTGGAAAAATTTAAAATAATAATAAAAAGTTAAGTAAATACTTAAC